AATCGAAAATCAGCGGGAAAGGTCTTCATTCCACAAGCAGGGGTGCAACAACTGCGCCAATTTGATACAATTTCCCATTCTTGCGCAGAGCTGCACCAAAACCACGAAATTGCTAAAATTGCACCACACTGTGCCAATGTGCCTGACCAGTCTCGAAGTTTTCTCAGGTGGGCTAATTTTAGCGAGAAACGGCGGTCAAGCGAGAAACGGCGGTCAAGGATGTATCTGCTTGCAGTGGGGGTATCTGCTTGCAGTTTGTGTCATCAATCAATCCAAGCGTGCATACTCTAACCCTAAACCATGGTGCAAGATACCTCATTCGATCAGGGCACTTGCAACGCACGATTGACCAGATGAACTAACAAAACCGCCCGCCATCGGTCCGCCCATCGCTGGGAATGCCCATCGGCGGGACGACGCAAGTTGAAAACAAAAAAGTGTTGCATAGCCATCAACGCTTCGTGGGAAGTATGAACTTCCTAGTCGGCAAGCGTGGCTATACCACGCTAGGAGCTAAGGCTGGAAGCGTATCACGCATATCACGCGCGCGAACAGACTCGACGTGTTGCGAAAATCGGCTTCCCCGGCGACCACGTTGGTTGCCATAGCAATGACGTATACCAAAACATTTTTCTGTAATAAAGTTGCATCGTCCCTGCAATAAATACCCAGTGCCATTGTTACTTTATCTGGTCGAACGCGCCTTGCAAGTGAGAGAGGAAGTTGTCCCTTAACCTAATCCCATTGCAAAACAAAAAGAAAGAGAGAGAGACACAGTGTTTCATGACTTTTTTTGACTCGTGCAGAAGGCTGCTTAATCCATCTTTGCCTCAGTACGCCAGTGCCCTGCAAAAAAGCACCTTTTGATTTTTGAAGGGGCTGTTAGCACTAATCAAGGACTCAGCACATTTTGTTCAACTATACTCTCGTGTGTATACGGTGCTTGATTGTGACTTCCAGTAGGATCAATGACGTCTCAAAAGGTTACTGGCAATTATTCGGAGCAATGTGTGACATTTTTGACGCCCTTAAAAAACTATGTGCCAGTTTTGTTTTCCGCCGCCCCTACGAATCCCTTAATTTTAAGCTCGCCAGCTTGGTAAATCCACATTTGAACTCGCAGAGTCAGACGTGGCAAATGCTAATATGGATGTTATCATTATTTGCTCAGTGTGATGGTTCATGATACTAACTTTATTGAAATAGCAGTGGTCTTACTCACACTGCATGATTTAAAGCATGTTGAATGATTTGTTTAGTTTCTTGGCCTAAATGTAAGACTTCCTTTTCATACTGCCCCAAATTTGGATTTTTGTGCTCCTAAAGTAATATTCTGCTGCTACAAAAATTGCTCCAAATTCTATTTTGGCTGTTGCACCCCCTGCACGTTGGCCGTAAAAGAAAGCTGCTTGTTATATCCCCGATGAATGAACAGTGTTATCATTTAAAAAGAAGTAACAACACTTGAAACAATACTAAGAGAAGAAAATGAAAAGGAGTGCAATTCACACCGAAGTCAGACACTAACGACACTGCGTTACGAAATCCACATAGTAGGGCTGTCTAACAACTGCCTTAGACAGTGACATGATTTTCTAGCAGCATCATCTTGAAAAAAAAAAAAAGAGAGGGGGAAACAATAGTAAAACATTCGAAAATGGGAATTCGAAGTGACGACTTGCGTCACAACACGACCGCTTCACCAAATGCGCATCAAGCCACTACGCCACCAGAACAGCTAGACAGTGGCATCTAAAACGACTACAACTTTACGGCAGCGGTCTCCATAACTGTTACGATTTCACTACGGTGACGGTCCCCCTCACTTTAAAGGACCCCTGACAGCGAAAGTTTTGTTTGCGGTGTTTTTGAGTACTTTGTAGCTTTGCATGTGTTAATGCTGAAATTATAACGTAAATGCTCTAACGCATCATATAATTAATTCTAGCAGCATTAATTCAGGACAATATTGTGTCAGTTCGAAACACCCACCTAAATACTATGAGAAACTAGCGCCCTACAGCGGGGCAGAGCCTGACGCTACATGCGCTCAAGCTTCGGTGATGCTGAAACTCTCTGTTTTCAAATAGGGGACAAACGGGTGGTCAAGAATGAAACAATGTGGGGGCTTTGAGCATTTTCCCCTCCAAAAACAGAAAAGCATTCCTGGCATAAGCAGCCCTAATCGATTTGAGAGCAGCCCGGCAAACAGAGTGAGAAGGGTGACGAACAATAGTCCTTGCTGAGTGATTGATTGATTCATTGATAGATATGTCAAATTTAACGTCCCAAAACAACCATATGATTATGAGGGACGCCGTAGTGGAGGGCTCTGGAAATTTTGACCACCTGGAGTTCTTTAAGCGTGCTCCTAAATCTGAGCACACGGGCCTACAGCATATTCGCCTTCATCAAAAATGGAGCCAGGTGCCAGTCAGGGTATTGTGCGCGCCCCGCAAATGTTCTTGACCTTTGCAACGTCACAAGGGGATGCCTGGTCTATGTGAAACCACAGAAAATGTCGATTGTACCTGAATACTCGGTGTAGCACGTTCCCTTACTTTGAAGCTAAATATAAGTATCTTCTTGGTAATGCTCACCAGGGAAAGGCAGCCCCACATGAAGGACTATCAAACAACACAATCATCTCGAGTTTCCGAATTTGGTATCAGGGGTCCTTTAATGATAGTACTGCGCTGACGGGCCCCGTAACTATAGTCACGATTACACCATGCTGACGGGCCCCCTCGCTCTAACAATTGTACTGAGTTGACAGGCCCCGTCACTATAGTCACTGCTTTTTGACATTTGTTAAGGATGTTTCCTGCATTTGTAAAGAGCAGTGACACATCATTTGCGTCTTCCTTAGTGGGGCTGAGTAGGCTTGTGCAAAAAGAAAATTATAGATTCGAAGCTGGTTTGAGGATTTGGTTCAAATAATTCTGCATCAAATTCAAATAGTATGTATCACATGTTATAGAGAAAAACTAGCATATTTGTCATGACCCCACAAATCTGCACAATATCTTTTTGTTTGGTTGAAACAAGGCATGTGTGAATTTCATTCGTTTTGACTCTAAGGAAGTGAAAGCAACTTTGAATAGTAGCAGAATTTCGATTGGGGTAGAGTGCAAGTCATCATCATGATCAACAGCCTGAATATGCCTACTGCAGGGCAAAGGTCTCTCACATGTTCTACCAACCGACGTGGCGCTGTGCTTTCTGCTGCTACGTTATAGCTGCAAACTTCCTAATCTCATCTGCCCACTTGATTTTCTGTCTCCCTTTCACACATCTACCTTTTCATGAAATCAAGTCAGTTACCCTTAAAGGAGGGAGCCCTGACACGAAATTTAGAAACTCGAGATGTTTGTGTTGTTTGAGGGTCCTTTATGCGGGGGCATTTCTGACCGATTATTAGCGATGAGTGTTGCCTATAACATATTTTAATTTGCTTTTAAAGCAAAAGTTTGTGCTCTTCCGAGTATACAGGTGCAATCGACATTTTCTGTGGTTTGATGTAGATAGGCAATCCCTCAGGACGTTGCAAAGGTCAAGCAAGTATTGTTGGTGTTGAAGAACATTTGCAGTGTGCGCACAAGACCTGGCTGGCAGGAGGAGAACAATATTGTTCGTCACCCCTCTCGCTAATTTGTTAGACTTGTCTCAAAATGCTTTTGGCTGCTTAGGCCAGGAATGCTTTTCTTTTTTTTTTTATGAGATAGAAATGCTCAAATCATCCAGATTGTTGCATTCTTCACCATGGCGGACGCCCCAATTTGAAAACAGAGCATTCAGCGTCACCGAAGCTTGAGCGCGCGTAGTCTGAGGCACTGACCCATTGTGGGGCACTAGTTATGATATTTAGGCAGGCGTTCTGAACTGACTCAAAATTGTTTGGAATTAACGATGCTAGCATAAATGATATGATGCATTAAAGCATTTACACTTAAATTTTGGCATCACCATACATGAAGCTACAAGGCTCTGTAAATAAGTTGCAAACAAAACTTTCGCCGTCTGGGTTTCTTTAATGACCAGCGGTATTCCTGCCTATGTGCCATATGCTCGGCCCATATCCATTTCTTCTTCTTGATTTCAACGATAATATTCTTAATCCCCGTTTGTTCCCTTATCATTTTCCTTTCCATCACTTGCTGCATTGTCCTCAGTTTAAGCTGAACCCTTTTTGTAAGCATCCAGGATTCTGCTCCGTATTGAAGTACTGGCAAGATGCAGCTGTTATATACCTTCTTCTTGGGGCCCACCGCTGGACTACCATTCATGATTTGAGAATGCTTCCGGAATGTGCCCTACCCAGTGTTGCCAGTTTCATTGATAATAAGCAGATTTAGGCTTTATTTTTTGGCGAGTCCCTTGTTGCATTTTTGGGGGCTTTTGAGCACCTTTTCAGTAAATATAGCTATTTCAGTGGTCACCAATACGCGTTTGTCAATGACATTGCGTAGTTGAAGGCGTAGTAGATATGCACAGGGTTCCCCAATAAGGGGGGCGAATGTTGAAATTGGTAAATAGTGGTTGAGTTCAAGTCATCTTTTCGACAAGTGGGTTTTCGCTTGTCCAAAAATTTACTACAATGCAACCCCTGTTTGCATATTTTTCTTTGCACAACGAGAAGGTTTCACATGAGAAGCTTCCGGTTTGTGAGAACTGAATAGCATAGTTTATGAGGTATAATAGCCACATGAGGTCATCTATTTGGGATAGCTCTTATGTAACGATACCATAAGATGCACTCTTTGAAAAGAGCACCTTAGCATGTGACTGTAGATACTACATCTGCACATGAGACATATAAAAAATTAAGCATTTTCCCACTACTGCTTTTCGTACTGCTCTCTTTCTCACCTTGTCGACGATAAAATAGCTGGTGCATCCATGTCTACAGCATTTCAGAAAAGTCATGCAGAAATATTGGTAAGAGAGTTTTACATAAATGATTAAAAAAAAAAGCAACTTTGAGAGCATAATTGGTGTACCTACGCCTGGCGCACCTCCGACCAAAGAATCCTTCATCGCAAAGACACCGGTTGTGTCGGATGCAGACACCATGCACGCAGCGCCTCTGGCAGTGCTCTGCAAGGAGAAATCCAATGCGAGTGCAGTAAGAATCGTTATGAAATAGCAGCTGACGATACGCTAATCAGCCATGCTACGATATGCTGCTTTTCACGGGCCACAACTGTGGCAAGTGGAGTAGAACAATGCTTGAAATATTTGCATTGTTCAGCTGCACTTGCAAGCTTGTGCAAGTGGCGATAAACCGAAATGGCAGCTCTCACTTTTCGTGTCGCCAGCCCATCAGATGCATCAGTCAGAGATTGCTCCTCGACAGAGGTAAATTTCAAGGGAAATTGAAAGGTGCTGTTTAGGATATATTTTATCAAAGAAAGCGCTAGATTGGGATCATATTTTTACATGGCAATGACAGTAGGCAGTGAAACTGGTTCTGTATAAATAAAAGAAAAACTTAAAATGCTTGCCTTGCTGTGATAGCAGTGACGTTCAGTCATTGATAATATGGTTTAGTAAAACTTGCAGCTGGGTGAGTTGGTCCATATTTCAAGATAAAGTGGTGTGCGCAAGTTGAAGACAAGGGTGCAGAAAAGACGAGACAGGGACAAGTGCGAAATCTTTGTTCCATCTTTTCTGCGTCCTTGCCTTTGATTTCCGCACTCCAGTTTACATTGATGATATGTTCTTTCCACACACGTCCACTTTTAGAAATGCGTGAGTTAATTCCTGTACAAGGAAGTACTCGTGTTGGGCATGCAGTCTTATCAGAACACTATAAACATTTGCGAATGTTTCCGTACATTCTGGCATAACCTGTGCCAAAATATAGCACTTGTAGCAGTTTTAACCAGTGACTTGCAATCAAGATAAAAAGAAAAACAAGCACATTTACAATACCACCCTATGAAAAAATATCGTCTTGATGCTGGAAGTAGAATGTGCAAAAAAAATTAAAGTAAATTCGAAATAAAGGTCATGCATAGCAAGGTACACTCAAACCTCTTCATAACAAAGTTCCATCTCACACTAAAATAAGTTTATTACAACCAAAAAATCATTATAAAGGTATCTACTGCAAAAATATTTTTCATTTACTTTGTTATAATCAATGTTCCATTATATAGAGGTTTGAGTTTAACTAAGTGGCGCTGCTGATAGTCTAAAATGCTGTGGAGAATAGCTTTTTAGTTCGACGCACCAAGACGTTCCAAGTACTATGTAATGTCCGAAACACCAATGTCATTTTTGACACAACATTATTTTATATTAGGGTCCAGCAACACTTTCATGACATATTGTTGTGACAAAAATATGTCCTAAACAGGGCCCCAGGTGGTAAAAATTTTTGGAACTATTCAACACGGTTTTTCTCACAATGGTCTTGTGGCTTTGGGATGGGAAACCCCAGTAATATTGTCGTGTGCACTGGCAGTCTTGACTACTTTAGCTGTATCCTTGTGAATGTTGGCAACAAACCAAGGTATCCCGCCTGGAGATCATCACAGCCCTAAGAACTATTGGCAGCTTTTCACTCTAGTGGGGTCCATTAAATGTGATTTCCTGCATGAACATTGTGTTATGCAATACAGTGGTCTTACTTGTGTCCAAAACATTACTTTGGTTGGATCGGTAAAAACAGCCATGTATTTACACTTTCACTCTTGTCAAGTTCATTATCACATGACGAATTGTGGTTCAAAGAAGGAATAAGTTATGATTTAACACAGTAGTAGTAGTGATAATTTTTAACACAAAAGTGTTTTATGCTGGGGTTTACCATAGCTCGGCCGACATAGTTCTATCACAAATATAAGGTTTCATAAAATATATATTTACATATTGTAAAGGAAACAAAGTTAGAACGAAGAGTACTGTAGCGAGGTGTTGAATCGGTGACCTTTGCTGCGCAGCGCGTGATACTAACCACTGGACTACACCACGTACATAGCTAAACTTTGTAACGGCGAGTTATTTATACACATCATGTTCCGTTGGCTATCCTCTGAGCTCAGTAACTTCAGCGCGTTTTAGTCAGCAGTAGCGACATTGCGGGAGCAGCGCGCGAGTGTTGGGTTCGCGGGCTCTAAAGGTCGTCGCGCTGCGCCATACTTCACGTTGCTATGTGTGCGCACCTCCACATGGCGTAGTCAAAGTTCGTGTAGATGTTCTCTGGCATGGTGGCTCACTCGCCCGTGCTAATCTCAGGATTTGGGCATTTTCTACCTCTTGTGCTTCCACGACACGTTTGCTTTGAAGTTGCAGTAGTTAAAGAGAGCTATAGGTTTACGAAACAAGCGCAATACTCAGACACAAAGAAATAACGATTGTGACAGTTGTTTGTGCTCATCCTGTGTATACTTGTGCGTTCATTTCGTGCACCTTTCTTTCTGTTTGAACAGCGTCCTTTAAGTGTCACGCTGTGACTGTTGCTTGTCACAATTTCGTGCATGCTTTCTACTTCAGGTGCGCGCTGCAAGTTTCGAGCTGCTTGCGTTCCTCGCATGACATTGCGATTCCTTGATGTAGCATTCATTTTTTTGCCCTTGTGGCGAAACAATGCACAATAAACGTTTAACTAGCTTTGTGAATACGGCCCACCATGGTGGTCTAGTGGCTAAGGTACTCGGCTGCTGACCCGCAGGTCACGGGATCGAATCTTGGCTGTGGCCACTGCATTTTCGATGTAGGCGAAAATGCTGTAGGCCCGTGTGCTTAGATTTGGGTGCTTGTTGAAAAACCCCGAGAGGTCGAAATTTCCGGGGCCCTCCACTACAGCATCTCTCATAATCATATGGTGTTTTTGGGACGTTAAACCCCACATATCAATCAATTAGCTTTGTGAATACCCGGTTCATTTCCGAGTTTTACCGATTCGTAAAAAGAGGGATCAGGCATGCTTTTTTTGCAGTGCGTACTCACCCCTCTGTACAACTGCAGTGCCGTCGACTTGGTGAGCACACTGCGGGCCAACAAAGCTCTTTGTGCATCGGCATTGGTTGACACCTACACAGCGTCCACCATTGAGGCACGGGATGGAACACTTGCCTGCAATATTTTCAGCCCCATTTCAGATACCCAGGTAACCAGAGATATCCGATAGGCATACGACGGGATGTACATTTCGCATATTCCGGGCATCAATCAAACGTCCACGGATGTACACTGTACATACGATGGACATTCATCGGATGTACAGAGGTAACAAAAAAAAAAACCTTTCATGTTACCCACACAGCCTCGGAGGTCCGTATTTTTTTCGCGGGAGTTTTCCTGCTGCAAATGAATTCTCAAAAAAAAAATGAAGGCAAGTGAGCTTTTAAGAACAATCGAACCTTTATTATCAACATATATAAAGCTAAGAAGCACATAACTCACAGTCCGCAGCGGCGATTGTGAAAGTGTGTACGTAGTCCTAAAAGATTTCAGTGTTCAATGCCCCTCCACCTTCAAGTGCGATGACTTCTTAGGCGGCAGCAATTGCTTCTTTGCGGGTTGAATAAATTATTAGCAACAAACCTAACTCGCGCGTCTTTATGGCAATAATATTCTAGTAACTGCAATATGGGCAAGCACAGGAGAAAAACTATTGGGTGTGGCACATGCTTCTAAAAAAGGTGTAGAGGTACTGACCACTTGCTCGTCCTAAATTGGTTAATGGCAAGAAATGAGCGAGCAAACTAAGAACTGGAAACAAGCCACATATTAGCAGGGCTTATACAAATGATGGGCAATAGTTAAGTCATGATAAGAATAAATAAATGCTCGATATGATACGTAAAAAACAGATATGTAACACGTGGCCTTATTTGTGCCATGCAAGTGAGCGGGGTTGCTGCTGCTTGCCGTGGCAATCTCTGCCGAAAAGCAGTGGTGGGCTTGTCCCACGTTTCGGTGTTTCTTGTAGAAGAGTAATCCTTCGTAACTTCACATGTTGCTGTTGATGTCCACAAGAGTGCACTTGAAAAAAAAATCTGCCTTCTGCCGCTCGGAGGCCGGCTCAGCATACATACGCGCGACACGGCACGAACACCCTGTTTTCCCACGCTCCTTCTCTCTGCGTGCTGCTGGTCAAGCAGGTTTCCGAACTATAGGCACAATGGCGCGTGTTTTCTCCGAACACATCCAGAGGGGCATGGCTAGTATGGCGTTTACGTTTGAGAAATGTGAGCGACTGCGATGCACCGCTTGTTGAAAAGTGTCGAGGCTGGCGCATGAAAGTTTTCCTGCATAATGATTGCTATGACGTGCTCTATCCGCTTTTTTGTCAGTTCACATGCAATAATAAAACTAAATACATTGTTTCTTAAGACATACGATACATAATTAAATCAACCAGATTGTTTTGCCGTGTAAAGCAAAATTATTTGGCATCCTGGGATCAAATGTGTTGCCGAAGTTTGAATTATTTAATAGTAGCATTTTTAATGAAACTTTACAAGATTTTCACTTGGCATTTGGCAGATCTATATATATTTTCACTACATTCTAATTTTACAATAATTAGGGAGCAAATACACATATCCTTGTCATGTCCTCATAGAAATTGTCATTCAACGTTCAAAACCTAATGTCCAGTAGGACATCCAGTTCAGACGTCCAGAAAACAGCCACACAGGACATGGATTTTCACAGTACGTCTATTGGCTATCTGTGTTGGATATCCTTACGGCTGGACATTTGAATTTATACTGGACAGCCTGCGGATATCGTGGTTACTTGGGTAGTGTTCCACTGAAAAAAAAACTTTGTTTTTGGGGAAACTGAAAATGTGTGTGTATGCTAAAATCTAGGGTCTGTATCCGACCTCGAATGTTTAACCCTCAGTAGTGATTTGTGCTTCAAACAATTAAATATTTCAGCAAAATGCCACACAAGACACTCAAAATAAGTAACACTTTTCCAAATTTTTATTGAAGATTGCACTGTGGCAAATGTGTCGCACCTCTCGGGAGCTAGGAATAAAAACCAGAGAATGACTTTGCGAAAGCATGCAAAGAAAGCGTGCTTCAAGTGTCTTGCCACTGCATCAACATAGACAGGCCCTTTCTGTGGGGATACTAGGTGAATGTGATGCTCATGCTTTTTCTAGTCTAATGACAATTCGTGAAGACAGTTGTCTCCCTTATTAGAAAAAAAAGTTGAGGCCAGTTCTATGCCTGTGAAATCTTAGTTAACCACTTAGTTAACCACAGAAATAGCAAGCACCACCACCTGGCAAATGCAGCTAAGTTCTTCTTCATCTTTCTTTCTTAATCACTTCCTACACACTTTTGTTTCAAATTTCTTTACCTTGTGCACAATAAAGGCTCGCACCTCCACCATGTATAAGGTCTTGGTTGGGCAGGCATTTATTTGGTGTGGGAACCGGGCAGCAAACAGACACGGTGAACTCACAATGATGATGATGATACATGAAGAAAATAACGCATAACCATATACATTATGTTGATGATAATCTGAATGGATATGTGTAAAATAATCTCTTTTTATATTGCCCCCCCCCCTCCCCTGCTTATTCTAACTCCTGCTCATCTCTCTTTCCCAGCTCTTGCTACATCATACTGCACATTCCTGGGTTACCTCCTCTTTTCCCCAACATTGGTCCTCACTTCACTTTACTGTTCCCTTGCCACACTAGGCTACACATGGCCATCCTATGCTAAGGGCTGCTTGGCACATCCAGGGCATCATCATCGTTCATCCTGCATACCTCTACTTTGGTGTTTCATCCACAGTGCAGTTTGAGTTCACATAATAATGTCTTACCAACTGACACTTCAATACACGCTGAGTTTTAAGTGAATGACACACGGCGATACTCGAAGGTTTAGGAACTATGTTATTAAACACTTTTTTAGTGTTCAGAACAATTCGGCCAAAAAAAAGTATAAAAGATTGCCACCGTGTGACTGACTACGAGCTTTCCGGATGGGACGAAGAAAGGTTCGTTGATCTTTCATCTGCAGTGGGCCTTCAATGTGAAGAAGGACAAGTGATCCACTTGAAATCCGGGTGTATAACTAAGGACTGGGGGAACATTGCCTAGTCATTGATGTTTTATTGATTTGTTAACAAATGCCTAGAAGGTCAATCTAAAGGGAATTCTTAGGGCTTGTTTCTTAGACACAACCATAATGAAAACTGACGAATAATGGAAAAAACGAATAGGAGACATTAATTGCACCATGATAACTGTACTCCTGTAATAATGATATAAACATGAAGAAAGTAAACAGAAAGACAATTTGCCAGAGACCGAACCTGCAAAGAAAACTTCTCACCTAAGAGATACAGAGCAGCAGCGTTGCGTCACTGGTGATGTCATGGGTTGAACGGCGCTAACGCGTATGCGACGGTGAGCGCTGGAAGATTCGTATGAAGTGATGGCTGGCGTAGGTCTTGTAGGTGACACCAACTGACATGTTTCAACACGTTTGTTAGGTGCACGCACAGCAGCAGCGTGACCTATTTGGCACCGTGCGAACACCTGTGACGCGCGGCACTTTTGCATGGAGGGACAGCATTACACAGCCTTGTCAAAGAGCTGCTTCTGTTCTAAAAAAAAAATACCTATGTGCTATGTGTTGCCAACTGGCAAGAAAAGAGCAATGCATGCTCGCCGTCATGGCTACAAGCGGTGCTGACAAACACCCCAATTTCGCATGCACATGCACAGTGGAAGACAACTGCTACAGGTCAATCAACCTTTTTCGAGCTCACGAGGGCCACCAATGGGCACACAAGTGCTCATGGGAGAAGTGTTGATGCTGCGGCAGTCACCTCGAGGAGTGTACGGGCCTCACGCTTTAGCTTTCCATCATCGCCATGCCAGTGCTTTGCATATCATGTGAATGTGACAAGGTGTAACATATTACTACATGATACTGCTGAGAAATTCTTCAGTGGTGCCTTTCTCTGGTGCTCATTGCTATAGCTTTAATAATTGGTGGTATCGCACTCAAAGCTGCAGGTGGCAGAGGAACACCATTGGTGCATGGGGGAGCTGCACTATCCTAGGGTAGGTGCCAGTTGGTTGTACATAGTACAAACTTCTTGCGTCCTACAAGGAAACAAATTTGGTGAAGAAAGTACAGTACCGGACAACACTGTCACAAAAAGGATCCAGAAATGGTGAAATCATGCGTGCAGCGTCTTACGCAAGCTGCATGCTCGTTTGGAACTCTCCTCTTGTGCCTCTGTTTATGTTTTCCTCCTGCGCCTCCTCTATGACCTCCGAGCTGAAATATCAAGTTGCATCTGTCCCTCTGGCTTACAGGCCGCTCTCTCGTCTCTTGACTCTCCACTCTGCGTTCTTATCTTCAAGTAGCTACATCTATTTTTGTATCTGAATGCTTATTAAACTCAGTTAAGCCCCGTTAACAAAAGGCCAGTGTTTTATCAGCCACTAAAACAAGTGATATTAAAGCATGGTGTCAGAAGTTAGCCAGTTCTAACGTCAGCGCATCAGCCATGGAGAAAATTTTTGCATCAGCGAAATCCGACTCCAGGGGCAACGCAGCAAAACAATGGTGAGCCTTCAAGCAGAGCTTCACATTGTACCTCAAGGCAACTAACACAGCCAGAGCACCATCTGACTGGCATGTAGCACTTCTTTTGACCATAGGAGGCTCTTCACTGCTTGATATATACAACACTTTGGACTTCGCGCAATCGACTGCAGAAAGACCAAACTCGGAATTCAATTGGGCTCACGTCATCAGCCTTCTGGACGCGCATTCTCGCCGAACACAATAAACTGCGCTCACGATACTTCTTCAGAACTCGCATGCAACAGGTCGAAAAGCAGTTCGACAGCTTTGTAACTGATTTGAAGCTCAAAGTGTATTACTGTATATTCCAAAAATAACAATCAAAAATGATCTGTGCCCAGATCGTCTGTGGCATCTACACCAATAACGTTCATGCATACATTCTGAAGTTAGAAGATCCAACACTAAGGATTGAAAGGGCTGTCGAGCCCATGACGCATCAGGAATTCAAATGAAATCACTTAAAATAGGGATGGAAAAATTCATTGATCGCAC